TGTCTTGGAAAAAATCTGATTCACAAATAAAAGGGTCTCTGACTGGTAATTTTGCTCCCCCTTGATCAATGCTAGATTGATCTTTGAAGGGAAACTTATTTTTTAAGAAAACAACATGTCTACTAATAAAAATGGATTTATTCACTAAGTTGTATAACAGATATCCTTTACTAGTCCTTGGGTAACCAAGGAAGACACAAGCTTCAGTCCTGGATTTAAACTTATCAACATCATGCAGTTTAGATGCAAAAGCTAGACAACCAAATATGCGAAGATGACTCAAATCTGGACATTTATTATAAATCAATTCATATGGAGTCTTAAAACCCAAAACCTTGCTATGTGTTTTATTAATTAGATAAGCTGCACATTTAACAAATTCACCCTAAATTTTATAGGAAGACTCGAATGAAAAATTAAACTCCGAGCTACCTCTAAAAGGTGTCGATGTTTACACTCAACAATACTATTCTATTCAGGAGTATAAGGATAAGAAGTTTGATGCATAATTCCCTTTTCTTCAAAATAACTTTTACTATCATTGTCGATAAATTCTGTTCCATTATCACTCCTTATTATTTTAACAGTAGTACTAAATTGATTTTGGACATAAGCAATGAAAGTTTTGAGGTGACCTAGAACTTTAGATTTATGATGAAGCAAAATCACCCAAGTAGCATGAGAGAAATCATCAACTATAGTGGCATGTTCATCCCAAAGATCCTTAAGCTTGCTATAATATTAAGACACTAACATTGAACCTTAAGTCAGAGTATTTATACCTCTTTAAAGACTAAAAATTTTTGTTGCACCTCTTTTGTCAAATCTCTCCTTGAGATCATCCCAAACCTTTTCAAAAGTTTCAAAAAATGTTAATCCATTTGATAAATCCTTGTCTACAGAATTTATGATCCAAGAGAGTACAACTACATTACATCGGTCCTATTGTGGCCAAAAATTTTCTGGTTGAGCTGCTCACCTAAAGGTACCATTAATGAATCCTAACTTGTTCTTTCCCAAGAGTGCGATCTTCATGGCTCAACTCCAGGTAGCATAGTTAGTCGATCCGGTCAATGGATTTGGCACAAGAGTGGTTGCAAGTGTGTCAGATGGATGGAGGTATAATGGATGATGAAAATCAATATAAATTTTAGTAGATGAGTTTCATTTGCTAGCCATAGAAGAAAACTTCTGAGATGATGAGGATTCTTGGAGTCTCTGTGTGAACGAAATCAAAAATTATCAACAGGCGAAAGATTGGCACAATCAATCGGCATTACTTCTTGGATCTGACTAGGACTGAAACTCAGGTAAGGTTGCGATGATGATGATTCAGGTTCGGCTCAGTAGTTTGTGGCAGGTAAATGGTGAGTACGAAGAAGATTCTAGGGTTGAGAGGTTGATCTGCGAAAGAGAGGTGTTGCATTCTGTTAAATGAAACCCAAAATTTTCACCAGTAGGGATAAGGGTCTCGGATCTTGGACAAGGTTTTGAGTTTTCTTGGTTGAACGACCCAGACTGTCTTTGGCTTGAAACTATAATATTGAGGAGAATAGAACGAGAGAACAGAACAAAGAAAGGGAAACTGTCCTTGTTCTCAGCAGATGTTGATCAGGCGCACGCGTTTGTGGAAGGTTCTTTGATTCTCAGATCCCTTCCAGCAGAACTCACAACACGTGGCTAATTTTCAAGATTGCAAGTCTTGATTTTCAGGCGGGTTGACCTAGTAACCCGAGCTCTGGTACCATGTTGAACAGTTCTTTTATTGATCAAAATATTGTTGTGGATTACACATACTGGTACAATTGTTACAAACATATACACATAGATATATATACATGAAAATGGACCTGATCCCATACACAGCCCAATAACTCTAATAGTATTCTATAGATAATTTAAATGCAAATATTTAATGGTTATTATAAAATAAACGTTAAGTATTACATATTTGACGCTATTTTGAAAAAACTATCAAACATACTTAACTTTTTTTTCTTGTAAAAAAAAGCATCAAGTAATTATTTTTATTTTTATTTTTTAAAAAATAATTAATTCGACGCTTGTTTGAAAACAACCATCAAATATACTTGATAAAAATTTGACAATTATCTATAAACAAGCATGAACTATATCTTCATCTAACAATAATTAAGTTTACATATATATATATATATATATATATTTGATAGTTTTTTAATATAATTGTCAATTATAAATTTAAATACTTGACTGTTGTTTATATATATTTGACAGTTTTTTCAATATACCATGAATTATTGGTTCAAAATTTAATGTTTTTTTTTATTTTTTACTTTTATCATATAACCGTTAAATGTAGGATATTTGATTTAACAATTTATGTGGTAGTGAGTTTGCACTTTTTGGTCGAACAGCCGGCTTCCGGAATGGGTGGCGGTTCGCCCTTTGGGAGGATCTTGACACTCTCCATGCTCTCTTGATGGTGGACGTCTTTCCTTAGGACCACTGCTTCTTAGTTACGTTGCAAGTTGCTCCTGCCATTCTGCGGGTGCGGACACAAAGAGAGTACAATTTGGCTCTTCCCCAAATGTCCACGCTCGCATCACATTCTATATTATAGCGTACAATTGCAATGACAGTCAAGTCAAGCCCGTCTCTTAATTTAAAGCTACACCAAAGGCTCTATTTAACAGCAATGAAAACACTGTATGCATGCTTACAAAGCGGGCATCTTTCATCAGTAATTCAAGCAGGCCATGCTCAATTTGAGCCAACTTATTCAAATCAAACTTAAAATATTCTATCCTTTAAAAAAAGTTTATCTAATTAAGTTTGTTCCTTACTCTTTTCAGATGAATTTGGCCTAATTTGTTCAGTTTGGCTTAAATTATTGATTCTACGTACATATAAAGCTGGTATATATAATATGATGTAAGGAAATTAATCATGCACGGTTCTTTTTCCCACATACAGTACTGGTAATTAATTAGGGAAGAGACAAGTACAAGCAGCATTGGCCCAGATAAACAGCAAAACCAGCAGATGGATGAAAAGAGGCAGGTCTAGATCCAACGAAATGGCTCTTCACTCCAGCACTTGCTATATGAGTAAATGTTACTTCAATGTCATACTCAACTACTTCGCAGAAATTGCTTTCCTCGGTGCTCCGTAAAGTCAGCAGCTTGGAGCTTGTGTGTAAAATCAATTAGTCTTGAGAAGAAGAAGAAGAAGAAGAAGAATGTACGAGGAATGAATCGATTAAATGATACATATAAAATGGTAAATCAATCTATATCGATTAAGTAATGTTAAAAATCATTTAGTGCATGCCCGTTTCCCAGCAAAGAGTAAATACTATATGCGTCGCTTAAAAAAAGAGATAAATATGCAGTTTAAATGGAGAAGGATACTTTTATTTGTTAGAACTCTGTGCCACTGTTATAATTAGTAAATGAAATTATAAAATTATTAAACGTTAATTAAATAATATGATAATAAAGATATAAAAATTAATTACATATAGTATGAGATTAATGAAATTCAAGAGTAACCTTAAGAAATTGAAGCTAATTGAAGAAAGATGAAAGATAATTGAGAACTCCTGAAAATTAATGTAGACTTTGGATGGAAAAGATAATCGACACTGCTTGCAAGACAATTGTTGCCGCTAATTTTTGTTGCCGTAGATAGATATAATAACAAAAGTTTTTGCAATGACTTTTTATTGTCACTTAAAACCTTCAGCAACGATCTTTGTCTTGTTGAAAGTTAATTTTTTTTTTTTTATAGTAACATCACACTAACATTACTAAAACATATTTCACAAGCGAAATACTACATTTCCTTTTTTTTTTTTTCCTTTCCATTTCTTTTAAAACGTGTTTGGATAGAGGTTTTAATTTGGAAAGGGAGGGAAGAGGAGAGTCGAGGGAAGTTGCTCCTCTCCTTTTATTTGATTTTGGTTGGTATTTAATAAAGGAAGAAATGAGGAGCTCCTTATTTAATTTAAAAATTGATGGCCCCTCCCCTCCTCTCATCGCTTTTCCCACCAAATTTATTTAAATCAGAAAAAAGAAGAGATAAAATTATAACTAAATCACTTATTTATTCTTTTTAAAATTCTAAATTATCTCTAATATTAAGAAAATTATACATTATCTTTCTTTCTCTCTCATAATAAAATAAATTTTATCGCTTTACAAAAGTTAATATTCCCTCCGTCCCAAATTATAAAACACTTTTAAAGAAAATTTAATATCCTAAAATATAAAATACTTTGATAAAAATAAGCTTTTATTAATGATATTTTTTCAATATTACCCTTCCCATATATTTTGTCTCTTCAATATTCTTTCATCAATAGGGTATTAAATGAATAATATTTTTAAAAATTTATATTTTTATCTTAAAAAAATAAGGTTATAAAGTATATTTAATGAGCTTTATTGGTGCGTAAGATTTTATTTAAAAGTGTTTTATAATTTAAAACATAGGAAGTATATATTTTTTATTAAATTTTAATATATTTTTCATTAGATACACTATTAAGATATAATATTAATGTATTTATTTTTAAAAATATTATTAATATAAGTTCATATCCTTAAAATAATAAAATTAATAAAATACAATATAACTATTTTTTAATAATAAATCAAAAGAAAAGAATAAAAATTAACTTAAAATTGATAGAAATAAAATTGTCCATTTATTATTAGTTCCCCTCTCCTCCCCTCCCCCATAAAAGTTCATTAAAAAATTTTCTCTCTCCTTCCCTTCAATCAATCCAAACAAGGGATCATTAATCTCCTTTTTGTTTCCTTCCCTCGAGCCAAACATACCAATTCACTCAGGATGAATCCAAATTTCATCACATGAGGGGCCATAATTAAAATTTTATCTAATTGTGGGAGGCCATAACTGAACTCCTATTCAAATATGAAAAGCTACCAGTAATTTTTACATTTTTTATAAACAAAGTTATTCCTATTTAAAACAAAAATTTATGGAGTTGGGGGGGGGGGGGAACCACAGCCCCTGCTGGCCCCCCCTCTAGACTCGTCACTGAATTCACTGCAATATTAATTGCTGTTCCCGGCGATGGAGGATGGTGAGAAGGATTGGAGGAGAATCAGAGGACATCATAAATCGAAGGTCAGAGTTTTTGTTTCATCGTCTTAAGAGCAGAACTGTTGTTGTCTCACACCCGTCTTCTTTCATGTTCTTGTTCTCTCCTTTAATTAGGTTTTAATCTTCGTCTTCTTTCCTCGTCGTCTTCCTTGTTTTCAGCGTCATCCGCAAACTCATATATTCTTACTGAGGGGGCAAATTTAATTTTTTTTTCCCACCTCATTTAAAACTCTTCCCTTTTTTTTTAGTGTGCACGATGATAAAGAAAATTTCAATTCAATACTTTAATTTATCAAGAAAAATAAGCAATAAACCAACTGCCATTAATAATTAAATTGACTACTTTATTTGCAATTCCATTCTATAATAATATTTTTTTAGCAAATTATTACTAGGGTCTAGGGACAAATCCACAATGTATCAAATGGGGGCTATAATTGAAATTTTATCTAAATGTTGGGGGACCATAACTAAAGTGTTATCCAAATGTGGGGAGCTAAGTACATTTTTTATAAACAAAATTATTATTTTTTGGCCAAGAAACAAAATCATACTTATTAAAAGAAAAATTTGGAGTATGTGGCCCAGCCTGTTTACATAGCATGTTCAATTATAGCAGGACTGAGAATCTCATGCATGCGGATGAATACTCGCAAGAATCACTGCCGAGAAAATTAATTGACTGTACGTATAGGACCACTTCTTAATTGCACTCTATGGCATTTTACCTTTGCGATTCTGTGGACAAGAGAGAGTGCACGTTGGCCTTTCTCCAAGATCGGGCCACGCATCACTTTCTATCGTCTTTTTAAAGCTAAACCTGCAGACACGAGCAAAATAAATTAAAATCAAAGCATACGTATAACTCAACCGAATAAAGTGGTTATCTTTAGCGAAGCTCATGGAGAGATCCTCAGGAGTGAGAACTGGCAGGTGGTGTAAAGAAGAAGATGACCTTCTCAAGGACTGTGTTCTCAAGTACGGCGAAGGAAACTGGCACCTTATTCCTCGGAGATCAGGTATGGTTATAACATGAATGGTCATTTTCCCCCCACATATAGTGGCTAGCTCCCGTCGGTAAGGACGTACTTATAAATTTGATGATTATTGACAAAAACAGTTTGATATAAAAAGTGGGTCGCATACTCTCATTCAGTCATTCCAGTTTACTAGTCATATACGTTTAGTTATGAACCAAAACTAAGAGAACAAAGAACAAAATTTCAAGCTAATTAATATTTTGTGATTTTTGCATTGTGGAGGCTTGAAGAGATGCAGAAAGAGCTGTAGGCTGAGGTGGTTAAACAACCTGAAACCGGATATCAAGAGAGGAGACTTCTCTGTGGATGAAATTGATATGATGATCAGGCTTCACAGACTCTTGGGTAACAGGCATGTCATTGTCTATTTTATTACATAGATATACCTTCTATATGTAAGAAAATAGTTATGTCTCACAACCAGAACCTGCCAGCTTGTTTTGTTTCGGTACTGTGCGTAAATAAAAAGTTGATATAAGTGATAGAATGTGGATGAGATTCAATTAGTTTTATTTTAGACATTTAGGATTATTTTATTAGGATTGTTTGAATAAGGATATATTGAATATTCATTAGATTATTTAGGATTTAATTAAATTTTCTTATCAATATCTTTCTTATGGTCATTTTATATTTTCTTTTTTCTTTTCAATAAATAGGATGTCAAAATATATAAATCTAGATTATTCTTGTTATCTTTTAGTATTAGGTTAAGATTTGATTTATTATTATTTTTAATATTTCTAGAACTCTCACTTGTATTCAGATTTGTCTTGATTAATAAATTGAGTTGAGTATTTACTTATCTCCTTTCTCCGAGCTTCCCCTTTCTTCTTAATTTTCTCTTCTCTACTATCTTTCTTAATTTTCCCATTTTACATCAATAAGTCAGGCATTAATTACCCTTGCTAGTCTTAGTTATATTATAATTAATCTGACGGCGCTTTAAACTACTATGTAATTAAATTAAAATGTGTACATAGCGCGAGCTGATTTTATATATCTGTAGATGGTCACTGATAGCTGGAAGGCTTCCTGGAAGAACACCAAATGATGTGAAAAACTACTGGAACACCCATACACGGGAGAAGGGACGACATTATGTTTCATCTCAGAAGAGAGAGTTGGAAGAAAAATCAGAGGAAGTAACCATGAGAAGGCATAGACAAACAGTAATAAAACCTCGAGCTTTCAGGTTATCATCAAGAGGCTCGTGGTCGTGTAGGTGGAGAAAGAAACCAGCTAATAACGGCGTTGAAGTTAGCGAAGACACGAGTACAAGCAGCAATGGCCCAGATGAACAGAAAAACCAGCAGGAAGATGAGAATTCGGTGGAGTACTGGTGGAAATGGTTGCTTCTTGATGATAATGACAATAATATTGATGAGAAGGCAGGTCAAGATCAAATTGACTCGTCGTTTTCATCCATATCATCATCTGTTTCCACGGAGCAAAATGGCACGTTTGACTCCCTCTGGGATGAGCAACTTAGTTGGATTAATAACTTTCCTCTGCACACCAGCCTCACGGATTTTCTAGATTAATTCTAGTACTTTGCTATATACGTTACTTCTAAGTAAACTAATTTTTCTGAAGGTGAAAAAAAAGGAAATCGATTAAATAACAGAAATTATAAATATGTACCAACTTAGAATGTGTAGTAGATCACTCCCATCATCTAATAAGTGATTAGGATTTGGATCCTAGCATTTGTGTACTTAGCAAATTAGTGTATGCTGCCTTGCGGAGAGAGTATACTCCTTTTGTGTTAAAAAATAAAACGAAGAAGATAAATATACAGTGTGGATGATAGAGAAGCTAAGGATACTTTTGTTTGTTGAAATTGTATATATGTGCAGATATGTTATCAGTAAATAAAATTATAAGATTATTAAACATGAAAATAATACAATAATAAAGACATAACACAATTACTTGTGTTATGTTAGATTACTATTATTTTTTTTATAACAAAGGAAAATAAACTACATAGCAGTAAAAGCATCCTACTACACCACAAGGATTAAGTCATAAGAAAGAAAATTCAACGGATGAAACCCAGCTATGCATTATAGGGCCTTCTTCTCAAGGATATCTGCTACTTCATTAGCCTATCTAACGATCATTTGAACATGTACTTCCCAGGCATGATTCAGTAGGGCTTGTACCTCCTAGACAACACCAGAATCTAGTTGAGTGAGAAAGCTTATTCCATTTATTGCTTCAATAGCCTCTAGGTAATCCGATTCAAGAATAATCGTTTTGTAGCCGAGGTCCCACGTAACTTTAAGCCCTATAAACAAGCTCATAACTCAGCATGTAATGGGTCTCTTATCACTCATCTTAAACATAAATCCACTTTAGAATTCTCCCTTATGATTGCGAATCAAACACCCACATCCGAAAACATTCTCTATTACAACATATGCATCATCCACATTCAATTTATTCCATCCATCAATAGGTGGGTACCAAGTTTCACTAAGGATAGGGCTAGTATGCCTTTACCACACTATTCCTATAAGCTTGCTCCGATACTCTTTGAAAGTGTTTATAATTGCTAGACTCTGAACATTAATAGTAGCATTTAGAGGAATGGCTTTATCTTAAAAAAAACATTCTCGTTCCATCTCTTACAAAGGAGCCAACACACAATAGAAAAGAAAGAGCTCCAAGGAACGCCTCTCTTCTTTCTTTAGGATTGCACATTCCATTTGATCTACTCATGTAAATCCGTACCAAAGAACTTCACTCTATCCTCATATGCAATATATTCCCTCCAAAAGCTTTTTGTGATTGGGTACTCTTGTAAGATGTGGATCAAATCCTCCACAGCATCCTGATAGATCTCGCACTGGACATCTATAAGCATTCCATGTTGCATTCCACCTACCATAGTAAGCAACTTGTTATGATATGATAACTATAAAAAAGACTTACAGTATTCTGAGACTTAAAGCTTCCAGATTCACTTCCAAGTGCTATTGTAACTAGTTGTATGTTGAGCTACATATTTGTAGGCAGACTTGACTAAGAATTGGCCACTCTTGCTCCACTTCCAACTAGCATCCTATTAATCCACACTAATAACGATCCTAATTTGGACAAAATCCCTAGAAGCTTTAATTCCAAACCATATATTAGAACTATGGTCTTTTTTAATTAATAGTCAGATGTTAGAACCACATTTATATTTACTTCTTATAACTTAAATCCAAAGGTTATCTTGATGTTTAATAATACCTCAACTAACTTCATTTGAAAAGCTTGATTTTGTTGATGCGCATGGTTGATTCAAAGTCCTCTACATACTTTATCCCAAGCAACCAGATGTACTTTCCTCTTTTCACTAGTAGTATCCCAAAGGAAGTTTGAGTTTGCCCTCTCCAGTTCATCACATGTTGCAGCTAGGATGCCAGCTATTTGCATGGTGTAGGTAGAAATATTGGAAGTGACAAAATTGATCAACGTGGTTCTCCTAGCAAAAGCAAGTGAATTAGCCTTCCAATTGGTCAACCTTTTTTTTACCTTATTAACAACTTCAAGGTACATATTCTTATCCACTTACTTGTGAAGGATTGGTACTCCTAAGTACTTGCCAAGGTCTAATATGCAAGAGAAACTAAGAGCATTACTCAGCTCCAAGCTTCTTTGGTAAGATACATTGGAGAAGAAGAACACCTTGGTCTTTGTTGCATTAACCTTAACTCCTAAACTTTTGGAGAATTGATTTAAGAAATCATTAATCACGTCAACTTGTTGAAGAAAATTTTTTGTAAAAAAAAAAATATCATCAGCAAAAAAAAAAGGAGATAGAAGTTCTATCCTTATAGACTTTGACTGGCTTCCATTCACAACCATCCATTTTCTACTAGATCAAATAGGCAAGTTTCTCCATTCAAATCACAAAAAGGTAAGGAGAGATGGGATCACCCTATCGAACACCCATTATTGGTTAGAATAAATTAGCTTGTCCCTCATTTCAAATGACTTGGTTACATAATTCCATATAACATTCACTATTTGACTTTCTAATTGAAATTCCAAAAGGCAATTCCCCACAAAGTTCCAATTGATTCTATTATACACTTTTCTAAGTCAATTTTAATAGCCATGAAATTCTTTTTATTTTTCATATTTCTCATGGTATGAATGACTTCTTGAACCATAATGATATCACTAGAATTTTGTCTTCCAAAAATAAAGCTACATTGATTAAGACTAATAATCAATGGGAGGAAAATTTTCATTCTCTTTGTAATAATCTTGGTCACCATCTTGTAAATCACATTACAGAAACTTATAGGACGCAAGTCTTTAAGCATGTCTAGGTGATCTTTTTTAGGAATAAGAACCATAAGAGTGCCATTAATAGAATAATGCATTGGCTTTGAGAGAAGAAGTCATTCAAACCATCAGGTCTCGGCACTTTTAAGGCACCCATATCAAATAATGCATCTTTAGTCTCCTTCTCAGTCACAACTTGCCCAAAGTTCATTAACATATTAATTAGTTGGAATAGTTGGATACGTCTTAGAACAATTTAACACAATTCTATCAATTTCTTCACAAAACAAAGTTTCAAAGAAGGAAGTAGCCTCAGTTTTAAACAAAGTAGTTTTAAACACTCAGTTGCCATTTTCATTCTAGATAGCACTCACCGTTATTAGATTATTTGGATATGTTGGAATTTGTATAAAATATGCCTTTGATGAGCTATAAGTGGGATGTGACATAAATCCGATAATGATAAGTTAACCGAAATTTGAAATTAATTTGATTAATTTTTTATTAAATTTTAAAAGGAAAAGTAATCTCTGCAATAACGGTAATTATTTCAATCAATTTATTCCTTTTATAATAAGATGAATTATTACTAATTGGATTTTCCTTTTTAAAGGTGGCATCCTTCAATTGTAAATAGCGATAGGTGGGTAGGGGTAGAACACACCTCAAAACAAATAGTTCTTTAACTCATTCTTCTTCTCCCTCTCTTTTTGTCTTTAGTGCATCTATTGTATAGTATAGTTTAGAATCTAGTAATCTAAACTCGTGTGCATCATAAGTTGACTCTACTATGCTTGGATTTGATAGGTTGAACAAGGTATCAAGTTCTAATTGCAAAACTACTTTATTAGGTTGGAGTTCGGTCAAATGAATTTATACATAAAAGAACACCATGAAAAATAAAGGTTTTTTGCTTTTGCAGCAACTTAAGAAAACTGCAGCCACCAACGATAACAATTGCTACCACCAAACAAATGTATAGCACTCGTGCTTTGTATTTGTACCATCACTCGATATCCTAGATAACTTGAAAATATTATCACCTACTGTTTAAGCTAATCCGAACCCCATTGTGTGTGACCATTATTATTAATGGTGGTCTTACAGGTATTTCAAGAATCCCTTTGTCTTTTTTATTTAATGCGACTATATATTTTAAAACTCAAACTCGAGGCTCCAAGATAAATTAGTTTAACTCTCTCTACTCTCTCGATATAGCACTCATAGCACTCGAGCTTTACCGATGGGCAATTAATCATTACAGCTTTATCGATGGGCATGTATGCAGTTTATTAATAGAGAGTATATTGATTCGACTGTTGGTTATTGACCATCATTTAGAAGTAAAAAATTAGATAAAAAAGCAATATTGAAGAACTATATATACTACTTCAAATTCTTGAACTTGCTTCTCTGGAATGACCTATAATCTGCTAACAATCTGACTGTGCATCCTTTCCTGATATCCTCCACGATTGTCTTGATAATCTGTTCATTATAAAACTAATCAAACCCTTAATCACATACTATCCTCATTATAAGTTTATAACATAGAATATTAGCTTGAAGGAAACATCAATCATCGGGCTAACCGAAAGCATGATGCTGTCCAGAACATGTTGAGGAACCCAAGAGAGAAGTGGGGGGAAAACAATGGTAACATTAGCGCTCAATTGATTCTTAATAACGCAGCCTCGGGTTCCCCGTGTTAGAGGGTACAAGGTTCCAGAAGCTTCGAGGTTAAAGAAAGGTGGCACGTAACCCGAATGCAGACTTGGAGCTTCCACTTTGTCTGTTGCACGTTCACCCGAATTAGAAGAACCAAATAATGAAAGTTATATGAAAATAAAAATAAAAAATAAAATCTGCAAAACTATTTTTAAGCTAGGGTTGATATAGATATATATAAGAGAATAAGAAGGAATCATTAAGTGCTTACAGTGTGAACGTGGTAGAGTTTGGAGACGTTAGGAGGAACATGAGGAGGGTAATCTTGTCCACTTGATTTGGCTGTCACTCTTACGTCTATCATTGGCTGTACCTTTAGAAATAAGGCTTCCACCACTGGCATTTTTATTCTCCACTCTTCCTGCAATTCGTTAATGTCTCACATTCTTATATATTTAATGGAAAAATTCACGCACGCACGCACGCACGCACGCATATAAACCAGCGATAATGAAATGAACTAATAGCTAACTATCTAATTGAAATTTTAGTAATTATGTAAACGTCAATAATATTGTATCACTTTGAAATTATATATACTCAATACATCTCCAGTCTGCGAAGACAGCAGTCATCAATGACAAGCAATTAGGTCATAATCAATATAAAGGTGACGTGGAGACAGATCCTAGAAAGGTACGAGAAAAAAGGATGTCAAGAAAAAAATATAGGGACTAATTTAGGAACGTTTGAACAATGTGCATAGGATGAACTCTGTAACTATGATGAAAAAAAAAAAAAACTATGATGTAAGTACTATAGTATATAGGGTTGAGTTTGAAAATTTTTAAACCATACGCTCCTACTTACATTTTTATTTTTTTCAAAAAATCAAGATAATTATATTATAGATTAATTTTTCCTTTTCAAAAAAAAACAAAGCCAAGTTTTTCATGTTGTTTTAAAAGAACACGCATGAAGTTGAAAAATGCATGGTACGTGCATGAACTTCTCCTTAGATGTGACACATAGGTAGGTAGGGTTCGGAATCAAAATCAAAAACAAAAAAAATAAAGAAATAATGAATAAATAAAATATTCATTACTGTTTGTGAAAAGAAAGAGTCATTTAGATCTAATAGAGAGAGAGAGAGAGAGAGAGAGAGAGAGAGATGCACTTGCTTTTCTTCCACCTTCTAACTATTGTTGGTCAGAATCTGATGGATTCGAATGACGAAATTAATTAACCAAACGGAAAAAGACATATATATGAGCAGAATGTATGCATGTATCAAGTATAGTCAATGATAATTGATTGATCGGGAAACACTACAGAGAAACCGATCGATGGAAAATACCTGATTCATTCGCACAGCGCTTGATTTTTCTGGAATGATAGCTCCCACTACTCTACCCATGTCCTCCATATACTCTTCAAACCAACTCTGCCAAGCCCAATTATTCTATAAACACAGATGTTACGGCAACAAGAAGCAAGCATATTGGCGAAGGACGTCTTATTAGATCCTCGATCGTTATAGCTAGGCTCATGGCGTTTGAATTGGAATTCTCAAGATGAGAAGGAGTGCCTTTGATAGCGTGGCCACTATTTGCGGAGCAAAAAATGAATGCTGTACTGTTAACAAATTGATAGCAGAATTCATTGTCAAAGTTCGTGCATTTGCACCACAGCATGTGTCACAGAGGCGAACACGCCGTAGTACATGTTCAACGAGCTGTCTGGTCGGTGATAACATTGATTATTGATGCATAAAATGGTCATCTCATGAATCGAGGAAACATGTGGTCATCAAGCGATGCAGTTTATAATTGCAAACTTCTTAGAGAGACCATTTAATGTGTAAATTTTTACAGATTTCTATTATATTAGCCTTGCCATGACCATTAATTTGTATCTATCTGCCTCGTCTCATTTTTATTCATGGTCATTTGCAGGTTATTTCTTGTGTTCAAAGCATAGAACGTAAGCTTAATAAAAACAAGAATATAGAGAAGGACGACGATACCGCAGGAGCGCCGGGGAAGTGATGATGGAGGGGGACGTTATCAGAAGTATTGTAAGTGAAGGTGCAAACTTTCTGCAGATTCTTGATCATCGACTGGCGGCGTGACGGTGCTGATGACAAACGACGTCGTTCACGCCTCTCTTGAGCTCTCATCAGCTGTGTCCTCATTATTTGGGGTGACCAACTGGTTTGGCAGGGAAACACAATACTTGCCATACTGCTACTTCCTTAACTGGTTTTTTCGTCCTCACAGAAGAAAGCCACTTTCTGCCTTTAATTCTTTCCTTAACCTTCATGCTTGGGATCCCCTATGTATGACCACGTCATTATTCAAATTAAATGGAAAATAACCTTAATTATAAGTCATAATTAAAGAGTACGTACTAGAATAATTAATTATTATTGTCACGTCTGCGTACAGGCCCTTATATGATATATTATTGAAATATCAACTTTGAAAGGAGAATACTTCCTCCGGTCCAAAATGCATTCCACTTACCATTATAAGGACGGAGAAAAGAAAAAGTGTTTTGTATTATAAAAATTATAAAATATTATAATTACTTCTTTTAACTATTTCTCTCCAATTAAAATTAATATATTTTAATTACCTTTGGTTTCTCTCTTATATAATTTCTATGCAATAAAATTAATACCGGTATTTGCGTAAATGAAGAATTTATTGATTTTGTGAATTGTCACATTTTGGACCAACATTATCGGATAAAAATTGTCATAATTTTGTACGGGAAGAAATATCTATTTAAATAAGTAGCCAAGTGTTATTGACTTCACTTTTTCCATGAATATAACGATATAAACATATTTTAATGAAAAAGTTATAAATAACATTTTTTTAATTTTAAGAAGAAGAAAATGATTACTTATTAATAAAATAAAACTCTAATCACACCCATTCTTCAAATATATTTTTCACCCAGAATTATCCTCTTTTTTTTTTGGCAAGAGTTCAAAATCCATGCCAACTGTCGAATCTATATATTTTCTTTGATCCTTATTATATAGCACCTTTTATATAGCACCTTTTAGAAGAAATGTGTTGTTCTTAATACAAGGCACTTCATTGGTATTAATGGCATTTTTTAATATTACCCTTAATTAAACTCATTACACATGGGAGGGAAATATGATATTAATTTAAATTTTTTTCATTTAAATATAGGTAATTGAAAGTTTATTATTATTTTTTAAAATAAAATTAATAACTGAACCACCTTTCATTAATTTTGATAAAGTGATTAAAGGTACCTTATTATAACACTCAACCACAAAGGAAATTAAGGAAGCCAATGAAAACGAGCTAAGCAAGTTTAATTAGACTCATCTCTCAAAAATATGTACAAAGGAACATGAACCTCAATAAATCACGTGTGGAATTTGTTAAAGTCAAGCCTTCGCCAGCTTAGTAAATCACGTGTGAAAGCTGTTAAAGTCAAGCCTTCGCCAGCAAAACAAATTTAAAGTCAAACAACTTCACCCGTCGGTTTAATGTCATAACATTGGTTATCACCCACCGGACATTACTAAGGTACCCGCTATTTTGCAAGGGCTTCACTTGTGTTGGGAGAAAGGGTTTGGACGGGTCAAAGTTTTTGCAGACTGTGCAGAAACAGTTAACCTTATTCTGCGAAATGGGAATGAATGTTACCCCTCTTTTGATCTTTTTTATGAAGTTCGTTTGCTTTTATATAGGCATTGGAGTGTATCTTTAGAGTTTATGTACAGGAAAGCTAATTTTTATGTCCACCATTTGACTGCAGCTGGTAATGCCTCTGACAACTTAGGTGATTTTCACACTTTTGATTAACCACTATTATTATTATTATTATTATTATTATTTGCAAAGAAGTGGTAGATAATGAAAAGCTGTTGAGTTTAACTCCAGCTTTGTTTTAAAATTTCTGATTGAGTAGTGCATCCGATTTTCATTCACCAAAAAAAAAAAACAAACAAACAAACAATTTCATTGCTTTGTGTACGTTAAGACTCATCCTGTCTCCTCCCTTAACCACTTGACCTGTTTCAGGTTCTCTCTCTCTCTCTCTCTCTCTCTCTCTCTCTCTCTAAAAAAAAAACACTTATCCTGCATATGCTATATGTTAATGCATGTTCTCCTGCATATGCTATATGTTAATGCATGTTCTCTAGCTAGTCCCACCTTTAATGGACTACGGAGATAGAAATAGGATAGATCGAATTAGATTTTAGTTAAATAGGCTTAGATTTATATGATAAGCTACTTCAAAGGTTTAAAATTTATATAAAATTTTTTTTATGACTCAGGCTTATTGACCTAGTCTAAAAACTTATCTAAAAATAAGCATTTTAAATAAGTTTATATTTTAATTTTAAATATATCAAATATACTTTAGGACTATTTGTGTAAATATACAACTTGATTATCAATTATAATATATAATAATTAAAAGGATTTACTAACTGCAATACAATACAATAATATAGTAATAACATTAAAATCAACATAAGTCCAATCTGATTGAAAAGATAACTAAAAATAAAAAAATAGATTGATTAAAAATTAAATTTTGAAATTGATATGTATGATACATTATATAATATGTGTGTGTATAAACAGGCCAACTAGTTGGGCTATTAGGTTAGGTTTTAAAAATTAGACTTAGCTTATTTAAATGAATATACTTAATTAAAGGCTTGAGCCTATTTAATAAATAGGTTAGAATGAGCCTGAAATAGGCCAAGATGTAAGTTTTTGATAAAGGTTAAGCCTATTTCCACCCTTAATGGACTAGAGTAAAATTTGAGCCATTTAAAATTGATTTTAAAGATTTAGATTTAGATTTTTTTTAATTTTTTTAATAAAAGATATTACTTTTGTAGATCAGTGACAGTTATAAAATTATTTTTATTTTAAAGTATGTATATAATTAAAATAATAATCTATTAGAGACAAAAAATGAAATTTTATTAAATTTAAATGGTTTTTTATTTAAACAGACAAGATGGTTCCTAGATTGGTCTGAAATTGACTCCCAATCTGGAAAGGGGGAAGTAGTTTCCCTACTCATTTTAAGGATGAGCGTTGGACCATTTAAATTTTAATCTGAATGATTCAGATTTTAAGTATTATTATATAATTTTATATTATAGTTATTAAAATATAAATTTATTAAAATTATAAAAAAATTTTAATAATTTTTTATTTTTAACATAATCTAGATTTAATTTAGAGGATTCAATTTAATATTAAAATTTTTATGATTAATATATATTGATTATTCACATGTATTCTATATAGTTAAGATATTCTTTATAAATTTTTATTTTAATAAAAATAATACAAAATTATTTTTAAAAATTTAGACTATTTAAATTAAAATTTAAATGATCTAAATTTCATCTCAAAAATGAGCGTATGGCACTCATCCATGGAATGAGCATTTTTTTTGGACACATTATAGTTACACAACTCGTTAAGTCTGCATGAGCCAACAGCCGCCATCTGTACCAACAATGAATAGCTCTTTCTAATTCATTTTTAATTTCGATTGCTTTATTTTTAGTTTAAGAATGTTCACGAGATGAAATGAAAAAAAAAAAAAAAAGAATTTCGGTATCCCGCACTATTCAGGATCAAAATGAAGAAATGTAGAAATCTCGATAAAAAAGACAGAGTAAAATAGAGAGTTAGAGAAACAAAAATTAAACAATTAAACTTTCACGATGGTATAGACATCTTCAAATTTAAGAAACCAAGCACACCCTGTCCATCTGAAACTAATTAACACAAATAAAGAGTTAATTAAACTATCACAATTAATGTTAGCAACAAGAGACCAAAAATATAATTTTAAGTATAGATAACATAACAACATTTATCAAATTACATGAGTAAGTATTAAATCCAAAACAACACAATTAAGTAACCACAAATCATGAGTACACAATTTAAATTTAACTATTGAATTACAGCAACCATATCCATAAGTCAGAAAAAAGTGCACATTTTTAATATATGTATATGTATATAATATCCAGTTGCCTATTGGGATTGGGCATATTGACATTATATCTCCGTCCCATTTTAAGTGTGATTTTGTCACATCTCGTCATATTTCTTCTTTTCAGGTCGGGCCATGCCCGTCTTGCGACATGACCATGATGAAAACACATGATGGGAGTTCCATGAGCTTAAAGGTTCCGTTTGGTTATTTTTAAAAAGGATGGAGTGAAAAAATAAAAATAAAAATAAAATAATCAAAGGAGATATGTAAATACATTTATAAAGAAAGGGGTAATTTAATTCATAAAATTGTGAATTATAATTCATGAAATTTTTGAATGGTATAATAATTTTTACATTTATAATATATATTAATGAGTTTTATTATATTTATTATGGGAGATGATGATTTGGTTTATTTTTGTCTTAATTTTTTTCAACCAATTCCATTCTGTTTTTTTCTATTTTTTTCTAGTAATCAAATGGGATCGTAGTTTTCTTGATTATACATAAATTATTACGTTAGAAGGTATGTAATTTATTTGATTATATATAATTTTAATATGACATTAGCATAGTTTCATCCATGTGATATGATACTTACCACTTGTATATATGCAAGATATTGCTCAGGAACTCAAGAGAATAATTTCGGAAAAACAGTGGCTATACCATCAGCGTCTACAACTCCCATAAATTCCACGCTTAAGATGTTGTATATAGTTCACATGCTTCACAATATATGTGTAACATTTCAATTTAAATTTTAATAGTTAATTTGGGTTAATAGAAATTTAAAAAAAAATATTTAGAGGTAAGAAATTAGTAAGAGATGATTATTAAATCTAACTTAGGATATAATTCTAAAAAAAATTAATTAAAAAAATTAAAAAAATAATAATTAAAAAAAATAAATAAATAAAATTATTATTAAATTATTATTATAATAAAAAAAGGGAAAAGGTATGCAAAAAAAAAAAAGAAGAGAAGAAGAAGAACAAAATTACTTTCGGCTGCCCACAACAATCATTGTATATAATAATAATTTAAAAAAAAAAGGGGAGAGAGAGAAAAGAAGAAATAATAAAAAAAAATATGTGGGACCCACTGAATTTTTATAAAAGCTCACCTGTTTCTTCGTTTCTTCATTCATTCCTTCGTGAGTGCTGAGGCAGAGAGAACGCGAGTCGCCGGTGCGAAATATC